CACTAGTTTTCAAGAACTGTATGAAATTTGGTTTCATTAGGAAGAAGACACCCTTCTCACATAGTGCACAGAAAAGGAGATGAAAATGGAGCGAGTTGGAAAAAAGTGGAAACGACCGCGCGCGCACGCGGTCCTCATAATTTTGGTCCACCCTGTATTTAGGAAGCAGTACTGTGCATGATTATTTTACAGATTCTTGCTGTCGTCAATTACAGTATCGTGCCGAGATCGCGTTCATGCTATAGGTTACATTATTTGGTGATAGTGCACGTACGAGCAGGTGATAGACTGACACGAGAGAAATGGCGCAAGACATATGGCCAGCTTCAGCATCAGGTTTGTACTGATTGTTTTCTCTTTGGACTGTTCAAAGAAAGAACACAAGATGTCCCTTTTAGTTCAATTTCAGCATTATGTTCACTACCGGGTTGGCTAAACAGGAGTCACTCAATAACGATTTGAAGACCGAAGCAGCTATTTACGGAGATATCCTACAAGGAATATTCCTTGACACTTACAGAAATCTCACTGTAAAGGTAGAATTATGCTTCTTGAAACACGGGTTCTGGTTTAGAAGCAACAGATAAAATTGTATAGTGTGAATTATGGATGTTAGATTAAAGGTGGGTGGGGTTCTGATGGTGTAATAAATATCACGGTGCTCGGGACAGTACAAGGGTGATTGCTAGTGTAATGATTGGCCAAAAGCATTTGAAAAATTGCAGAATATCGCAGCGCTAAGGTACGTTGCCGCCGTGTGTCCAACAGTGCAGGCAGTGGTGAAGCTGGACGATGACGTTGCATGGAATTTGCAGAAGACAAAGGCAATAGTAGACGAGGCCATAAGAGATCAGCGTATCTACTGTCCTCTGTAAGTTAGTTGTTATCGCTCAACATATCCGATGTACAGGGTGACGAGAAATTCACGTGCGCCATAAAAAAGGTCCTAACTTCATTTTTTGTTCATAAAAGCTTAAGGAAATTAATTTTATAAAACAGCAAACTATAACATTCAATAATTAGAACAAGTTCCAGAAGTGGCCGCTCTCAGTTTTGACATAGGTCCGAATTCGTTTCGGCAGAGTCGATGGTGCGGCAAAGCTAACCGGCGCCCAATCCAAAACTGGCCACCACATGCGTGTTATAAAGTATTGGAACTCGTTTTCTTCATCATTCACTTTTCATTTCGAAAGTGATGTCATCAAGTGTTGCGAGTTAGTGGGTCCAGGAGAGGGCTTGAGTGCCACTTATGAGGAAAACCCGGATGAATTACGAAGGGCAATAGCACAAACAGTCAACCATTAGCAGCCCCGCGTGACTACCAACTTAGCAATGAACTAACTATCCTAACGACCAGCCAACTGGCTTGGCAACCACAAAACCGACTTCAGTACACTTTGGTAAGTGGATAACGTCAAGAATAGAAGTTCTAAGGGCTAACGCCCTGCGATCCTGCAGAACCGACGACGAAGGGGCAGAACCTGACGACAGACGGGGAACACCGGGACTGGCCGTGATGGTGCCGTTGCGAACGGCCCGTGCGTTTCCGCGCGATCACGGATAGATCATGCTGGGTCATGTCTGCAGGACTTCGCAGGCGCCGGCGCGCCCAGGGTTCCGTTGGAGCGGTCTTCGTGATACGCGACATCAAGGGTATCATGTAATACTATTGTTTGACAATACTATATATAAACGTAAATTGTATGCTACAGCACAGCCTCCTACCATGACAGAGCGCTCATCCGGGAGGAGTTCTTGAGAGAT